TCGTGTGGACGCTGCGTGACGATATCGATGGGCGGGCGTGATAGTTTCGATAGGTAGAGCTGAGAATGGGCGCGCGTAGTTGCTAATTCGAATATCTGTATAACTAGTTGTAATAAATCCCAACATTTTGTTCTACAAAATGGTTCCCGAAAGGCCGGAGCCAAGAAATCAAATACATCACTTAATTTGGACTAGCGCGTACCCGTCTTAGCGACCCACTTTAAATACTTTTGCTAAATAGCAAGCAGACGAAAAGCCCGCGGAAGTCGGCGATTAACGATCGACAACGCACATTAATGTACATCAATAAATGATTAATACATAACTGAACCAATGCTACAAGGATGTTGCGTTGTCTGTATAGGGCAAGCTCTATCTTGCTCGGGCGCCCACCGGACACAGGACTGATGTTAGGGGCAATCGCCGAATAACCAGTGCGTTGGTATCGCCTACGTAGAACCTGCCGTACATATACATAGTAGCAGTCTTGGCCCTGCGTTGTCAGTGGTAGACATTTCTCCTTGGCTATCATGTTTACTTTGTTACTCTTTTTCATGTCGTACGCTGTGCTGTCGTACTCCACCCAGAACGTTCACGATCACACATTCACACCAACTCACATCCTTCGAGCTACAGCCCAGAACATAACCATCGACTGTGAATCGCGTTACTCCGTTGTAATCAATGGTAGCGATCCAGGACCCATAATTCGCCTACAGGAAGGCACTACTTCCTGGATAAGGGTTTTTAATGATATCAGCGACCAAAATTTCACTATACATTGGCATGGATTGTCACAGCGGACCGCTCCATTCTCGGATGGTACTCCTCAAGTAGCGCAATGGCCTATTGCTCCCGGCCATTACTTCGACTACGAAATTAGACCGGAGATTGGAGATGCTGGCACCTACTTTTACCATTCCCACGTTGGTTACCAGGCTATTTCAGCACATGGCGCGTTGATCGTCGACGATTTTGGGAAACCGCCATACGAGTACGAAGAAGATTTTACTCTTCTGATGGGAGATTACTACAATCACACAGATGAACAGATTGTTTCCGGCCTCGAGGCAGATCCTTTTGATTCAGCTGGACCGGTTCATGCCATCGTAATTAATGGGCAGACAGGAAACGCTGGATTTGCGAATGCGAAGGACGATTCATGTGCTCCACATGTCATCAAGGTGTCTCCTAGCAAGACATACCGACTGAGATTCATTGGAGGTTGTGCGAAAACGATAGTCACTTTAGGTATCGAAGACCACACAGATTTCGAAATCATTGAGGCCGATGGTCAATATACGAAAGCCGTTACCACTGATCATATCAACGTCGCTCCGGGACAAAGGTTCAGTGCGTTACTTCACACGATGTCAGAGGCCGAACTGCGAGCTGCAAATCGGTCCACTTTCTGGGTTAGGATGGAAAATCGAGAGCGACGCCAAAACTGGTTTGGTTACGCTCTTCTCCAGTACGAGCCTCTGGAAGGAACGCTACCCCCGGCGCTTCCAGTTAAGTCACCTGTAACTCTGCCGCAGACAGTCTACAATTGGATGGAGTACGCTTTGGAGCCCCTCAATCCTCAGCAAACAGATGAATTTCCTCGGGTTTCTACGCGGACTTTGCACATTCGTGTCGCACTAACGGGGCTTTGGAACGGGAACAAGTTCACAACTGCAGCTCACTGGGCGATGAACAATGTTTCCTGGACAGAGAATGTCCCAAGGTCCCCTTACATGATTGATATCTACAAGAATGGTGAATCTGCGATACCCAATTACGAAGCCGCGTTGTCGAACGGCGGCTGGGATCCAGCAAATTACCTTTTCGTGGCGAAAATCGGTGAAATCATTGATATCATCTGGGATAACAGCAACATTCCCGAAACCCAATACCATACACATCCTCTCCACGTTCACGGTGGCCACGTCTGGGACCTTGGCAGTGGGAATGGAACATACGACCCTGTAGCTAACAGTAAAAAGCTAGCAGGCTTCACACCCTTGAAACGCGATACAACCCTTCTATATCGTTATTCTGTCGATGGTGTGGCGAACACCACCACTGGGTGGCGAGGCTGGAGACTCAAGGTTGAAGACGCTGGAGTATGGTTGATGCACTGCCATAGCTTACAGCATATGATCATGGGTAAGTGTTCCTGCGATAAACAATTCTATGGCCAGACTGCGCAGTCAATATAATAGATATACAATCTATATGCTAACAAGAATGTTGGGCAGGCATGCAAACAGTCTGGGTGATGGGCAATGCTTCTGAGATCACTGGGCGTTACCCGGAACCATATGTATCTGGTTATCTTGACTATGGCGGCTCAGCATATGGTAATGCGACGCACGATCCCCTAGTAACCCATTTCTTTCCAGAGGACTAAGTTACGCAACGTCAAAGCTCTACCTACAGACTCATGCAACGAACTTTTGAAATTAGGTATGCTTTGCTCATGCTGTTGGTATGTAAGCCGTTCAGAATGGTCAGATCAGTGAATATAGCCCAGGCTTGTAGGTGAATGTCTGATCTTTTTGCCTTGCGCTCGTAACGGTGGCACGCAATTGAACGGTGACCAATTTTTATAGATCATGAAGCGCTGGCGCATCTCATCTAGCACGTCTTACGGATGCTCGATTTGGCCCTCATCGGCCATCAGAACCGGCATCTGGATGACAAGCATCTGTGATCTTGTGACCAAAGCAGACGGTTGTGATGTGAAGGAAGATGCGTCCCGAAAGATTCTTTTCTCAGGATACACTCCTAAGGCGGCAAGAAACCCTATTGCCGTGCTCTTGAATAGATCCCATTTGGGCGTGTGATTGAGTATGGAGATGTAGAAAGGGATACAAGCTTGGTCGAATTTGTCTTCTGGCGATCATTGCCAGAGATGTCAACAATCAAGCTGAGTCAAGCTCATCAATCAAACATTATGCGCTACGCTAATAGGTGTGAGATATCTGTGGGTTTTTCATGCGGGAAGAACCTGTATATACACCGCCTGAAGAACTGTCGAGGTTTCTGCGCGCGGGTCCGACAGCCTGCGGCCTATACAATGCTCGGCCGACGGTCATAGTCCCTTTTTTCGGCGAGTAAGCATTAAGATCCACGTACGTAAGCTAGATACTTCGGCAAATGTTAACGGGAACCCCCCCAACAGTTATTTGGCACCCCCATAAGACAGGGGTGGGCATTATTATTATTATTCCATTATAGTCCTGTATCAGCCG